CACGCCCCTTTTGCCCAGCACATGTGTGCACATATGTGCACACTCCTGCATCTGCATCTGCACACTCCTCCACACTCCTGCATTAAAAGCGCTCTCACCCACAACCCTAAATCTTAACCCAGAAGGGGCCAAAGGCAGCCCCTGACAAGGTGTGGGGGGGGGGATCATAAACCAGCAGCTACCCGCACGAGAACAGCCAGGAATGGTCATGGACAGGGAAGGGGCCACTGAACTACTCCTGCTGTGGGAGCCAGGGGTTCTCTGCACCTGACCAGGGTCCTGAGCCAGAGCTCTGGCCATGGCCTCCAGGCCTCTGGGCACCTTGAGTTTGTGGCTATCTGACAGTGGCCTCCAGCCTGTCTTACAACAAATACAGGGAGCCATCATTACCCACTGTGCTGACTTCTCCTGTTAGAAAACTTACTCCCAGGTTTTATTTCATTAAACTTTTTTCCAAAAGAAGTAAATATTCACTGAAAAAAACAGATTTCAATATATTGTTTTTTCAGTGAATATTGTTTTTCAGTGATATTGTTTTTTCAAGTGAAAAAGACAATGGGCCAACCCTGGCCTCATTTCCCGGACATAATGTACCTCAGCATCATGGTGTTTGTCACTCTAGACCTTTGTCTCTAGATATTCCAGGGACTAGTCATATCTGCAGATGTTTCTTGAGCATCTAATCTGTGCCAGATACTGTGTCAGGAGCTGGGGAAAAACATTAGTGAACACACAGACAAGATTCCTGGAGGGCAGGCTCATTTCAACAGTGAACATGTATGTGACGGATGTATTACATGTATAGATTTTCCTTATTACAAAATAGGATAGTGTAAATATTTAATACTCCTCCAGTTTAGGAAGTCTGAAAAATCCCCAAAATAGAAGGAAAAACCCCTCAGTTTTAGATTCATGATCCAGAGAGTGTGGCGTTTTATGGCCTTGTATATAGTACCTTGCTGTTGTTTATTTAAAAAGAGTTTTATTTTATTTTACAAAGTCATAATCATACTGAAAGCACAGTTTTTCTTACTTTTTTATTGCACAAGTCATGCAAACAGAAAGCATAAACAGCAAAATCCTTTGTAAATCTACTGCAGAATTAACCACTACTAATCTTTAATATGTACTTACTTCCTTTTAAACTTGGAAGCCTGAGATCACACTGAATGTGTCACTCGGTGACTGACCCTGATCTCATGATATATTTTTGTGTTGATAATTGTGATTCTACACCATCATTTTTAATGGCTGTACACTTGGTCCTCATAGGGGTTTACCATCATGGGATCGATCAGTCCCCTCCTCTTGGATGTTAGGATATTTCCAATTTTTTATTTTCATGAGAACGCTTGAGTGAACGAAGCAGAATGTTTGCTCATGATCTTAGTTATCTGAGTCCGATTTTACATTGTTTTTACTCACTCATATTTTAACTACCTCAAAATGTTGATTGCAGTTACCTTTGAATGGTATTTTGTGAGATTATTATTGTGTTTTTGTTTTTTTCTAAAACTTTACAACGAACAGGTTTTATTTGCATAATCACAGTGTCGTTTAAAATTATGATGTCCAAAAAATGTCCACATTACCAGTTTTCCTGGTGGTGGCTTTTTGGACTTACCTGTACTCCATGTAAGGGATAGGCCGTAATTCATTTAGCCTTCCCCGTCTCGACTGTCTGGGTTCTTTCCCAACTTTTTCAAGATCGTCATGTGGGAACCCCACGCCACGTTTGGGGCTATGTCCTCATGGAACAGCCCCGCAAAGGCTGGTGAACAGCTTTCACACCTTTGGTACATCCTGCCAAACTGCTTTCCCGAGAGGATGTTCCAATTTCCACTCCCACCAGCAGCGTGCGAGAATGCCTGCCCAGCCGCCCTCTTCTCCTGGAGACGGTTCAGGCCCCTGGACAGCGGCTCTCCCTGCCAGGAGGGCAGGAGAGAGCAGGAAATGGTTTTGTCCGCAATGCCAGCATGATGACCCCAGGCCCAGAACCGCAGGAGTGATTTTTAACAAGCCCGGTTCCCAGAACAGAACCTGCAGAGAAAAAGAAAAGCAAGCAAGCAAGAAAAAAACCTCTCTGCTGGAAAAAACACACATATACACAGATTAAAATAATATTTGGCACTTACGTCGCACTTTTAAAATTCTTCAAACGCTTTATAAACACTAGCTAATTAATTAAGCCGCCTAAATCTGGCTGCAGTTGGTGGAGAGAGCGCAAGAGGAGCTAAAAAAAGGGGGGGGGGACCAGCCCTACCCAACTCCAGATTTTATTGTCGCCTGCCCAGGGTGTGATTACAGGCCTCCGGCTGCACCCCAAGAATAGCCCTGCTCCAACACGTTGCACGCCTGGTTCTGCAGCCATCTCCTGCTCGCGCCGCTCCCCTCACCAGCTGCTGACTCACGGCCCTGTGTGGTGTTATTGATAAGGATAATAATAACTGGCATCTCTTCTGCAAACCCAGGGGCCAGGCGCGGTCCCGGGCGCCCAGTTCGCACGGTCTCCTGGGTATGCCTGTGGCAGCTCCATTCAACAGATGAGCAAAGACTCAGAGAGGGGCTTTGCCCAGGAGCAAGTGAAATCCCTCCTTCCTTCATTCATGAGCGTTCATTCAGCGTGTATTTATTGAGGGCCTGGTGTGTGCCAGACACTGTTCCAGGCAGGGGGTTGGAAACAGTTCCTTGTGGATGCTACATCCTGGTCGGGGAGGGGGGGGGGAGATGACAATCAAGGATATAAACGTTAGATCGGTGATGATAATGGGAACAGAAACTAAAATTTACCCAGCACCCATGAGGCAGGCAGTTATGTCCCACTGTGTCCTCGTCCTCATGACCATCCCGTGGAGCAGACACCGGTACCCTAGTTGATGGATGATGGGATGGAGGCCCAGAGAGGGTGGGTGCTGAGCTGGCTAAGAGGGAAACCAGCACTTGGGCCTGTGCTTCCCCCAGGCGGCATTTCCAGTTCCTCCAGTGTCCCGTGCTAGAATGCACCCACTGGGGTTGTTCTTGGCTGCATGCTTTTGGCACCTGCCTGTGCTATCTCGGGGCTGCTGGCTGCCTCGGTGGGCCTCCTCCGTGTACCTGTCACACACCTGGTCACCAGCTTCACCCCGAGCCCCTGCCCTCCTGTGGGCTCTGGTTTCTCCCCTGTGAGGGTCGGGCCACCCTCTGGCTGCAGCTCTGGCTTTCTGGCACATTCCAGGAGAACTGGGTGACCTCTAGCCTGGGAGTCAGGACTGGGACAACAGGCACAGGGGTAGAGAGGACTGTTCTGAGGCCCCAGGCTTGCCAGCCATGAGGGCAGCCTGGAGTCGGGGGGCTTCCCAGCCTTTAAGCGCCCTGTCCCTGCCAGCGGGGGCAGGTGTCCCTGTCAGGCCATGGGCAGGTGGCAGACTCCGAGGTCTCTCTCCTGCCCAGCCAGAGCCAGAGGGGGCTGCTCAGGGCATCGGCTGCATCCTTTCTGTGGTACAATGCAAAGATGACCTAGACAAGGTGTCAGAACAGGACAAGGCGACACTGTGGGTCAGCGTGTGACCAGGAGGAGACAGACCGCCCTACCCCGGGCTGCCACTACTCCCTGTCTATCTTTTGTCTTCTCTCCCCCCACTCCATTCCCCTCACTCACTGTCCATGCCTGTCTGTCTCTCCCTCGGCCTATGTCTGAGGTCCCGCTCTCTATCTCCCCGTCTCTGTGTTTCTCCAAGGGCCTTATGATCTGTCCTCTCTCCCTCAACCCTACCTTGCTCAGAATCAGTCCCTGGGTGCACCTCGACCTGAGTATCTCAGCGGCTTCTCCCAGCCACTTCCCACTGCCTGGTCACCTTCCTGGTGTCCCCCGCCCCCATCACCACCTTGTCCTCTGTCTCAAGTGCCCCACTCCTCTCCAGTTTGGGGCTCAGGCTCCTCCCCTCCACCACTCCTAGGGAGCCTTCCAGCTACCCAGCCTGGAAGCCCTTGAGGGCTGACATGTATCCAACCCCTGTGTGTCCCCAGCATCAGTACGGCCTGGCCTGCAGGTGCATCAACAAGAGCAGGAATGAAGTTCACACAGCAGAGCCTCCCCCTTGTATCATTTATTGGTTGTGTAATGACAGTAGTAGCTTCCCTGTGCCCCAAGTGATACTAAGTAACTTCTACGTGCCATCGCACTTTCTCCTCAGAACAAAGCAGAGGGCTAGCGGTTGCTCTACCCGTCTTGTAGATAAGGAAACTAAGACTCGAAATCAATAGATAAATTCAGGTCACGTGTAAATAAAAGGCGGGCCACGTTTCCGGCCAGGTCAGATGGCTACAAAGACTGGATGCTTCTTTTGCAACTGTCCCTGGCCGAGGCTTGTCGTTTGGTCATGCCAGAGATTCATCGAGATGGGATCGCAGTAACTGTTTGACAGATGAGGAAACTGAGGCTTGTGAGCCCTGAAGGATGTGCTCAGACCAAGGGCAGCACTCCCATCCACACCCATTTCCTGTTGGATGTTCTTGGCCCAAGGGATGGCCATTGTCACAGAGCAGTGAGGCCCAAGCCAGGACTCAAATCCAAGTCCTCCCGCCTCACTACTCCACTGCCTGGACGCGCCCCAGCTGCTCGGTGTGGCTTCCCTGCTGGGGACCTGCTTCCTAAGCCAGGCCCCAAAGAGAATCTAAGCTCCCCGTAGAGCCCCACACACGTCGTACTAGCCCCCCAACCCCGACCTCTGAGCCACTGCCCTGCTGTGCCCCTTACATCCTGGTAGGTTCAGAGCCCAGGTCAGACGTGATGCTTCCGGAGAGGGCTCAGGCCCTCCAGCCTGCTCCCTGGCACATCATTAACCTCAGTTTACTGGGTTTTGATAGGGTCTCACGTCACAGGCTCATTGTGCCGTGTACATGCAACATGCTGAGTCAAGGCCTGCTCACGGTGTACTCAACGTGCTGTTGTGGATCAACCCTTGAGGAAACATGCAGGATCACATAAGGATGGATAAATGACTGCTTTGTTTCCCCTCCAGGTGTGGCCGGTGAGGCAGAGCTGCAGGTGATCCAGCCTGAGAAGTCAGTGTCTGTCGCGGCTGGAGAGACCGCCACTCTGCACTGCACCCTGACCTCCCTGATCCCCGTTGGGAAGGTTGAGTGGTTCAGGGGGACAGGGCCAGGCCGGGAGTTGATCTTCCATTTCAAAGGAGGCCACTTCCCCCGAGTAACAAATGTTTCAGACTCTACAAAGAGGAACAACATGGATTTTTCCATCCGCATCAGTAACATCACCCCAGCAGACACGGGAACCTACTACTGTGTGAAGTTCCAGAAAGGAAACCCCGATGTGGAGTTGAAGTCTGGACCAGGCACCCTGGTCACTGTGAGCGGTGAGTATGGCCTGAGCCTCCATTGTCCCCTGGTTGTGACAAGTCAGTAAGAATGCCCTCCATTGTCTGAGCACCAGCTAAGAATTGGATGTTGTGGTGGGTGCCCCTATTTCGGCCTCTTCCATAGATCAGGGAAGTTGAAGCCTGGGGGGTCGTGCTATTTGCTCAGACTAGAAAATGGTGGGAAAACATAGAACCTCAGTCTGCAGGCTCCACAGCTCATACCTTTTTCAATCCTGACCAGCCCTCTGGTTCCAGGGATGAGGGACTGGAGGTCTGAGTGGCCTGCCCAGTCACAAGGTCTGACCTCAACCCAAGTTCCAGAGAGCACTCCCCTCCATGTGGCTGACTCCTCTCTCTACTCAGCACTTACTGAGCACCTGCTGTATGCACACTCTGCTCTGGGTGCTGGGGAAGCAGCAGGGAACAAAACAGACAAGGGCTCCCCTCTCATGAAGTATACATTCCCTCCCTATCCAATGAGGACAAACCCATCCAGGGTGGAGAGAAGGAAGAATGTGTTTATTTTATCTTCGGAGACATTGCTCTGAAAAGACATTCCTGAGAGGCAAAGACGCACTGTTTACCCTGACAGCCCTGGTTGGAGGAGATGCCAGAGGTTTAGCATTTGCTGTGGATCTATCCAGAAAACCCTCATGTGATTCAGGGACTGACTCACGGTCCTGGCAGGCTCCCAGCAGACCTGGGGCATCTCGGAATGTCCTCACCCAGGGCAGAGGTGCCCCATGTGGGTGAGGAGGGTTTCCCTGTTGACACAAAGATGGTCATTTAGGGTTTTCTGCCAGAGGCCCAGGGTCCAGAACCCTGGGATGTCAGCACATGAAGGCCCCATCCAGCCCAACCTCCCTTGTACAAATTCAGAGCCTGTCATGAGACGACAGCGTCTTGCTCCTGCTCATGTATCCAGTGAGTGAGATCATTCCAGAACCCACTGATTCCTGCAGGTTCCTTCCTGCCCCAGCTTTGGATACTGTTTCCATGGAAGAGCCTGGTGCATAGTAGGTACCGCGTAAAACCAGGTTATACTGACCGTTTCAATAATAAGCCAGTATTTCTCCTTTTCATCATTTTTCCAAAGGTTCAGAATGCTATAACCCTCTCCTTTAAAATCCTGTATTCTGTTCTTCAGCAATATGCATTTAAAAAAAGAGTCCTGGGATGGGGGGAGGTGGGCTAGCCTTGCATGTCCAGATCAGATAGACATGCCAACATCTCATGAAGTGTCGAGCCTGTTCCTGGGGGACAGCTCCTCACATGTAAGAGCATCAGGAGTCTTTTCTCGTTGTGTGATGTTGCTCCTTCACTGAGCAGCCTGGGGCAGTGGCCTGGACAGAGCAGAGGGGCCCCCACAATCCCAGCAATACTGGGCACCCCATTCCTGGCTCTGCAGACTGAGGATGATTGGGAGACACATCCTGGAGGGTGTCTCGGGCTCCTGAGCCAAAGTTCATATTCTAGATTCAGATGTTGGGACCTCACATCTTCCCTCTGTTGCTGCAGCGTCAGCAGGTCTGGGCACCCAGAGGGACCCCTCCCCATAACTGCTTACAGGGGAGAATATCAGAGAGCCAAGGAGGGTGGTGGTCACTGTCGGGTTGGAGAAGGTGGGATGCTTGCTCTTTTGTGGCGGTGAAAGCTAAGGGCTGCAGGAAGCCCCCCCTGGGATGCAGTGAGGGTGAGGAGCAACCCCTTTGTTTGCCTCGGCCTCAGTTTTCTCACTTATAAAATGGTGATAATCGTGGAATCCTCCTTTTAGGACAACTGGAAGGATCTGAGGCTCTGTCTGCATCACCCAGCAAGGAGAGGTAGCCCCAAATCCAGGTGTTCCTTCAGGGCTGTGGCTCTGCTCCCTTTGCTGGACTCATTTCCTCACCCCGAGCAAGTGAATCAGCACACCAGCCTTGGCAGCATGTTAGGGGGAACATAGTGAGCCGGAGGAGGGGACAGACCCTCAGTGAGCCCTGGGTGGTGATCCTGCCAGAACTGTGCGATCCTGGGCTAGCCTCAGTTTCCCTCAGGTCCTCCCTGTCCCATCTGTGACCTGGCAACAATCAGGCTGCCAGTCAGAGGTCTGAGGATCGGAGAAGAGATCCAGAAAGTTCCAGATGTGGGGGTTAGGTGATTTTTGGGCGTCAGAGGGCGTGGCCAGCCCCCACAGCCTGGGCTCCCACCCAGCTCTGCCTTTTGGCTTGTGACCTCTGATGAGTCATCCCCACATTGGGTCCTGTGTCCTCATCTGTCTGTGACTGTGACAGCATGACCCCACAGAGCTGTTGCACGGACTGAACGAGCAAATGCCCATAAAGCACTTAGAGCAGGGCCTAGCAGGTGGTCACTATCCCATGAACATGGCAGTGATATGCCCGAGCCACAGGACCTTGACGGGGTCACCCTTCTTCCCAGGCCCCGAATGTAAGTGGGGTTTGGGAACCCTTCAACCTGGGCTGCTCATTAGAATTGCCTGGGAAAAAAAGCTCTCCAGACCCTGGCTCCCCTCTACATATTCTAACTAACTTAATCAGACATGAGCCTGGGCAGGTGAATTTTTTAACTAGTCTTGAGGATGCTAATGGGCAGAAGAGCCCTGAGCTGGATATTCAGAGATCACAGAGGACACGTTGAATTATTTTTACCCCTGACAAAGCTGGCTCCCTGAGCTACCGGGACTGGGAGAGGAGCTTTTGGTTGGTTGGGTGCTTCAGAATAACCTGAGCCCGTGGCAATTCCTGGGAAAATGAACACCAGTGGAGTGGCCAGGACACTCTCCCAAGGAGCCTGGGGCTGAGCTGCTTCCTGTCCTCCAGCCCCAGGAGGGGAGCCGACACCCTGCTCAGATCTGAGCGTCACTGCTAGGGGACCTTCCCGTCTTTAAGCACATGTGTGTCTGAGCAGGTGCTGGAATCCCCACAAATGCTCGCCGCTCAGCCCCAGAGCCCTCCCAGCCTCAACACACCAAAATGTCACGGACAAAATCTGTCCTCCTTCTTTCAGAATGCTCCCAGCTCTCTGTAAATAGCTAATCTGCAGGAATACGCCTGTGATCTCGTTTGTGTTTTGAAAGCCAATTCGCCAAACTTGTTTCCTGAGGGGATTATTAAAAGAAGAGGGAGAGAATCATAATTTGCTGGTTTCTGCTGCTTTTCTCATTTGGGGTTTTGCATGGCAGCTGCGGGGAGCAGGCTTTGGGACTCTCCTTGTGTTTCTGCTAAGCTTTCGTTTTGCCTTCTTACTGCCAAAAGAACAAATAGGTAGTTTCAGAAGTAGTCACGGCCAGATCTTATGGTAATAATCATAGGTGTTGCTTATTAAGCACCTACTGTATGCCAGATTCTGTGTTTTACATCCATCCTCACATGTTACCAAGGTAGTGTTTGGATCCACTTTGTACCAAAACAGGCCCAGAGGCACAGGAAGAAAGAACAGAGAAGCTAAAATTAATCAGTTGTATGTGTGGTGAGATGAGCTCTGCCCTATATTCACTGCATGCATGCCCTGGACCAGCCGTGTTCCTCCCGGAGCCTTGTCCCATTAACGGGACCGTACTGGGCACCCCCCTTAAAAGGGCTGGCAGAGGGATAAAGAAGCTGAGGGGCGAGGAGAGACCAGCCCAGAGCCAGATGCCCAAGATGCTGCCCGTGACTGGCAGCTGAGCACAGCACCTCATCTCTCTAGGGGCATCCAGTCTGTTGGTGATTTCATGACTTCACTTATTCAAGTGACACCTCCTTCCCATGTCCTCAACATGTTTGATGAGTTTTAGGAAGTTAAATATTCACAAATGTAAATATTTATATTTCCTGTGTTTGTTATACAAGGTGTTGGGTAATAATTAACAACTTGGAGGTACCCTATAGGACCTTTTATGGGTAAAATTCCCCCCCCTTTTTGATTCACTAATGTGGGTGTGCTTTCAGGACACGGGACAGCTACTGCCTACTCGTAGTTCCGTATTTCTGTCCTTGAAATTAAGCCATGACTAAGAAATTAATGACCTTTGGCTTCCTCAGCACATAATGATCTTGGTTTTCAACCCAAAACTGACCCGAGAAAAGAATGCAGATTCAGGAAAACATCCCTTCATTCCCACCCTCTTGGATTCAGGGGTAGCACAGATTAGACCCTGTGGAATATTTGTAAAAAAGGGTGAAAATGAGAGGAAATTCATAAATACCTGAACAGAGAGCTCTGGGTGTAAATTAGGTTTGGGATAAAGATAGATCCGTGTTTCGTTCTGAGAAGCATTTCCATGTTAAATTCCAAGCAAAACTGCATGCATTGCCTCACCTGCCCCTCACTGCAACCCCAGGGAAAGAGAAATGCCTGCTGTCCCATTTCACAGATGGGGGAGCTGCGCTGTGCCATGGCCACACCTCTGGTCAGCCAGCCAGCCTGGTTCTATCATCCATGGGGTCCTGCTCCACCCCTGCTTCCCCTGTAAGGAAGGAGGTTTCCAGGGAGGCAGCGAGGAACCCTGGATACCAAGAGTGAGAGCCATCAGAAATGTCCTTCCTGTGCCCAGATTGCTGGGAAGTCACCTGGCAGAGGAGAGAAGGGACTCTGAACTCAGGCCTGGAACTGCACCTGAGCCCCTGCGCCCAACTCACAGTTCAGCTCTGGAACCTTGTGTCCTCCTCTGTGTGATGAGGAGATGACACCGCCCTCCTCACACTATCAGGAGGGCTGAGGCTTCTCCACAGTGTCACACGTGTGGTTAGTGCTGTTGACTACCGTCATGCTTACTGTTCATTGATGCTCCTCTTGTAGCCAAACCCTCTCCCCCCATGGTGTCCGGCCCCACGGCCAGGGCCACGCCTCAGCAGACAGTGAACTTCACCTGCAAGTCGCATGGCTTCTCCCCCAGAAACATCACCCTGAGATGGTTCAAAAACGGGAATGAACTGACAGCCTCTCAGACCACTGTGTACCCAGAGGAAGACAACGCTTCCTACAGCATCTCTAGCACAACCAAGCTGGTGCTGGCCCCGGGGGACGTTCGCTCCCAGGTCATCTGCGAGGTGGCCCACGTGACCCTGAAGGGGGGCCCTCCTCTTCGTGGGACTGCCAACTTGTCTGAGACCCTTCGAGGTAGACGCCCCTCACCCTCAGCCCAAGCCCAGGTCTGGCCCCCAAGCCTAGGAGCCTGCCCCTCCCCCACTCTGCTCCAGGCCTTCCATTGTCTGGAGTCTGAATCCTGAAAGACCCTCCCAGTCACCCTGCACCTGGATGTACAGTCACCTCCCCTGTTCCCATGGCAGCTGCCTGGTGAACACTGACCACGTGCCAAGCACTGTGCTAGGCAGTCTGATTTGCTTTACCATAGCGCTTCCAATTATTACCGAGCACCGAGCACCTGCTGTAATCCAAGCCACCGCGTGCTTGGTGATTTCATTTATTTTGCTACAGTTACTCTGTTTTAACTGCATGCCAGGGGCTGTGTGTCTTGATTTCACTCATCCTTGCCCTAATAGGAGCTATCAGTCCTTGAGCACCTACTGTGTGCTGGGCACTGTACTTAGGGGTGTCATTCATATGCAAAGACTGCCCTCAGTCTTTGAGCACCAGCTGCATGCCTGGCAGTGTTCTGGGTGATTCCCTTGCTGTATGTGGTGGGAGCTAAGTTCTCGGCCCCTCCGCTGTGATCTGTTTGTTCCATAAGGTCAGAGCTTCTGCTCTGTGCTGTTTCAGTTCCGCCCACCTTGGAGGTTTCCCAGCACCCCATGGCAGGGGACCAGGTGAATGTCACTTGCCAAGTGAAGAAGTTCTACCCTCAGCGCCTACAGCTGACCTGGTTGGAGAATGGAAACGTGTCCCGAACAGAAACTCCCTCAGTGGCCTCCAACCTCCTAGAGAACAAGGATGGGACCTTTAACTGGACGAGCTGGCTCCTGGTGAATTCATCCACCCACAGGGAAGATGTGGTGTTCACCTGCCAGGTGCAGCATGACGGGCAGCCTGCAGTCACCAAAAACCATACCCTTGTGGCCTCTGCCCGCCAGAAGGACCAGGAAACACTTAAACCCCAGGGTGAGGCCTCAATGCCGACTGGCCTGGCACTTTAAATTTTATCTTTTTTTAACGTTAAAAGTAGTCATTTATGTTTATTATGGAATGATCTAGAAGTCTTGTAGATACAAAGTAGAATTTTAAAGTGAGTGCCCCTCGCCCAAAGCCTACACACCTCAGGAGGGACTACTGGTAAGAGTTTGGTACATATCTTTGTAGATCTTTTTGACAGGAGCATACATTCGAGAGAGAAGGGAGGGAGGGACGTTTGTCTGTTTCTAGCTTCCTGCCTCCTGCTCCTGCACCTGACTGAGATTGTCACCATGCCAGGCCAGCCACCCCCTCCCGCTGTTCTTTCTCACCTCAGCTTTGTCTCCCTGGCCTCCTTTGCAAGCCTGCAGCCCTGGAATGGGATGGGGGCTTCAGAATCTTTGCAGCTTATCTCAAGTAGAATCACTGTGGTAATGAATGACCTTGCACAGACTCTGTTACATGTGCAGCTGTTTCTGGGGGATGATTTCCCCAAGAGCATTTCTAGGCCAAGGTCCATGCCCACTTAGACAGTGACAGCCCTGCCTCTCTGTTGTTAGAGTGAGAGGTGTTGGATGTGATTTTTCTCAGCCCCTTCCAACCTGTTCTCAAGATATCTCTCTTCAAAGTAGCAGCACCTCGTTGGCATTTTGGTGCCACTATGGAATATTCCATCACTTGTCATTAGCATGGCTCTGCCTTGCACCTGGCTGTCCTTTTGAATGGATTACAGTAGAGGCCATTTCTTTCCTTAGTGCATCTCTAAGAGAACAGGGGAGCTCTAGGAGCCTTGGGGCCCTGCAGGGTGACCCTTTGATGTCACCGATGCCTGGTTTTCATAGGATGAGCACTACACTAGGAGATAGGACATGTGGATTTCGACTCTGGCTCTGTCGCAGATGTGCTGAGTGACCTTGGACAAGTCAGTGTCTCTCTCTGGGCCTCTTCACTTATTCATGGCAGTGTCAAAGAAGATGTGCTTGACCCTTCAGCTTTAAGACTCAGCTGCTAGGGACCATGGTTGTCTTGTTCAGCATCATAGCTTCAGGACCTGGCACATAGTGGACACTCAGCACATACTCTTAAAAAGGAGAGAGTAAGTGAGTGACTTGGTTGATTGTTTAGTTAGCAAGTTAATCCTCAGAGCTGTTCAATGAGGTAGAGATTATTATTGGCCTCAATAACACAAGAAGAAGTCAGTACGTAGAAGGAGGTTTGAATGACTTGCTCAAGGTCACACAACCAAGTGCACTGATTTGAACCCACGTTTCTGCAACTCCGAACCCTGCTCCTGACAACCCACAATGCGCTAGTGCAGGATTCCCTCCCTACCTGTGCCCTGGCGCCAGCCCTACCTACACAGTCTCCATTACAAGGGTCCTGAGTTCAGAGCGCCTCTGCTCAGGTCCCGGGCACAGATGTGTAGACAGCTCCTGAGAGCTCTGTAGAGTCCAGTAGTCAACTGCACGTCTGCCAGTCCTCACCGTCCCTCAACGCCCACCTACCCCCCCACCCCCAGCCTGTGTGTGACAGCCAGTTGTGACTCAGAGTTTCAGATGGACCTGTGCTGCCATGGTGGCCATTCTGGTTCATTCCAGATGAGAAGGAACATGTTTCTGTCCCCTGGGAGTGAGATTTCTGCCCACATCCTGAGCCAGGGTTCCTCCATCACTGTCAGCAACACGCATTTTTCCTCCTGGCACCTCAGCATGGTTTTGCATTGCCCACAGGTGACCCAGGTGGGGAAGTGTGTGCATACCCATGAACATGCTCATGTGGCTCAAAATATATATGGCCAGGTGTTCTCAGTTAATGATGCCTACCTAGCGGTGAAAAGGGGTGGTGGGTATTAAGTTTCACCGTTTTTAATTTGCATACATGAAGCCTCTATTCCCTGTGGTCCCTAGACGATAATGACAGCCGGAGTATCTTCATTGTGGTGGGCGTGGTTTGTGCCTTGCTGGTGGCTCTGCTGATCGCAGCCCTCTACCTCCTCCGAATCCGACAGAAGAAAGGTGCGTGGATTCTCCTCTTCCTCCCGGAGTTGGCCCCTGGGCTGTCCCTCCAAGAAGGAGAGGCCATGAGGGTGCTTTGGGCTAACGTAGCTTAAGCTGTGAGGAAGTCCAGTTGTTTCCACATAAAGCCAAGTGGTAGCAGTGTCCTGTCAGGGCCGGCACAGCACCTTTACCAGGCCAGAGTGTGGGTGGCTCCCTCCCCCTGGTGGGTGCCTCCCTCCACCTCACTTTGCAGTTGCAAGATAGCCATCACCACTCCAGGCCTCACATCCCCATGGGACCACTACCAACATGGGGAGCAGGGAGATGCCAGGGCGTGAACGGAGGGTCTCAAGAAAGAAACAGGATTTTCCAGGAATCCTAGCAAACTTCTACTTTCCTCTTACCCATCCAGGTACATGCCCACCCCTAGGTGGGAGACTGGAGGAAGTGGGGATTGTACCAGCACCTCCTCCAAGACTATTGGGAAAAATTAAGTGGGTGATGTCATGGAAAAGTGCTAGGAGAGTGCCTGGCATACAGCAGGTGCTTAGTAAATGTTAGCTCCTGTTGTTAGTATCGTATGTGAGCCCAGAAACAAAAGCCACCTTCCTGGAAAGCTCTTCTCATGGTGGCAAGCTGCACAGCCTTAGAGTCCACAGCAGGAGGGTATAAGTGCAAAGCTAGGGCGTCATGCCCTTGTTTGTGTGCAGGCCTATGTGTGTAGTTGTTGCCGTGGCAAGGCTTCTGACTTTGGATTCGCACCAACCAGGATTCCAGAGCCTTGTTATCTGCCCTAAACAATCAGTTTGACCCCTGCGAGCCTCAGTTTCCACATCTGTAAAATGGGTATAGCTGTTCCTCCCTTGGAGAAGAGTTAGGAAACACAAATAAGCTCACATAAAATAACAGTTCTCATGCATTCTCAGCCCTCAGAAAATACGTGTTCTCTTTGCCACTCTTGGAGGAGACAATTTTTTTTTTTAATTTTTTTATTTATTTATGATAGTCACACAGACAGAGAGAGAGAGAGAGAGGCAGAGAGAGAAGCAGGCTCCATGCACCGGGAGCCCGACGTGGGACTCGATCCCGGGTCTCCAGGATCGCGCCCTGGGCCAAAGGCAGGCGCCAAACCGCTGCGCCACCCAGGGATCCCCTTGGAGGAGACAATTTTAAGCCAGTGTTTCTGAAACTTACTTGACTAGAAGTTAGAGAAACACATTTTATGTCTCCACCTGATGCACACCACACTCCTATAGATAAATTGGAACTCTGATGTTTTCTTTTCTGTCATATTTACTAAATTCTCCTTAAAATGCTGGTTGTGATCCACCATGTGCCACAGACCACCAAGTGCTGTCCTGAGCTGTCTTTCTGCACCCGGACCCCTGGGCGGGGCTCCGATGGGCGTGTTGTTCATCAGTCACACATCTCTGCACCCCCTCACCTTGGCTCCTCAAGCTTCCCTCCCTCCTGGCTGGGCTGGAAGGACTCTGCTGGGAGTACTGGCCGTACTGGCCAAGCCTTAGCTCCCCCTCCAGGAGGGCTGGAGTCTGGCCCTGCCTGTCTGGAGTCTGAAAGAGGTTCCACCAAGTGATCTACCCAGTGGTCTTTCCCTTAAGTCCACAGAGAGCCCTCACGCAGGAAGGGTGGAGAAGCGGGCTCCACTGCCCACTGAGGCCAGCCCATCGGATGGCACCCCTGGTGGCCATTAGTGAAATCCCAGGCCCATCCCTGGGTACCATGTCAGGCTCTGGCACATGCACTCTCATTACTGTGGGCTTGGGCGTTAGGAACTGGGTGTTCCAGAAGAGAGATGGAGTTTGGAGAGCTGCAGTCACTGGTGAAGGCCATGCAGCCTCTGAGTGACGGGTCTAGTTGTGTGCAGAGCCCAGCCCTCACACAGAGGCCCTGGTGACAGTGACAGCTAGCGCTCACTCAGTTTTTCTGATGCGCCAGGCATTGTTCTCACCACAGACCTCTGCAGTGGTTTCACTAACCTTTTACAGATGAGCAAACTGAGGCATGGAGAAATTCTAGAACTTGCCCAGGGCCTCACGGCTGCTAAGGGGTGAGGCCAAGAGTCCAACGTGGTCAGTCTCCAGGAACAGTGTCTGGGACCACTCTGTGCAGCATCTCCTCCTTAACGAGATGACCCTTCTCTCATTGGTCCCTGGAGGAGTCTGCCCATCGTCTACTTCAATTCTCGCAGTGAAACGTCCTGATTTCAGCTCTACTGCTTACCAGCTGTGTGACCCTTGCGAGGTCCCTAGGGAGCCACCCAGTCTCTCTGGTGTAAAACGAGGGTGATTGATGTCTCATGACTGGACACCCTAAGACAGCTCATGTCCCAGCATTCTGCAGTCCATTAGCTTCCATTCAGACGCTGGATGCTGAGCCACAGGCTTCCCAACTGGTACCAGCTCACCTAAAAATCCACTGTTTGCCCTGGTACCAGGCGTTCAGCCGGCAGGGAATATTCTTGCATGGTGGCAGCTTCTAGCCTGGTAAAGTGCAGTGCAGAGCACATTTGGTGTGCAGGTTGCTTTTTAATTACAATTTTACAATTAGATGGGAATCAGATAGTGGCCAAACCCCAGCAACTGCTCTGTGGGATGCCCCATATCATAGGCTTAAAATCTCTGAACCAGATGGGCCCTTTCTTCCCTCCTAAGATCCTTTTTTTGGAAAGTGGTGACATGAGAATAAATGAATGTCCAGCCCAACTGTGCGAGCTGGAGAGCTGAAATCCAAGCTCAGAGAGGGGAAGTAACCCACCCAGGGTCACACAGCCAGTGAGTTAAGGACAGACATAGGATTTGCACCTGCTCCCCCAACTCCAGCTCTGCTGGAATCTGTTCCCCAGCAGTGAAGGACCCTGGCTGGGATCCAGGCTCCTCTAGGGTCTCAGGTAAGGCATATAATGGGTGGAAGTAAGGCCAGGCAGAAGCAGGGCAGTTGGCCCCTCCTGGGCTGAAGGCTGCTCTGGGATATGACCTTGGGAACCCCCAGAGATGGGAAAGCAGGAAGCCCCAGCCCACTGGTCCTCCTGTTGGAAGATACTGGGCCACCCCACTGGAGTGAGCATAGGCAATTCCTGTGATTCAGAGGTGATTTCAACAATTCCTCACAGCTTCCCTGGAGGCAAACCTTTGCCCTACCCCCCACAAAAGTTACGTAAGAACAGTGTGTTTCTGGGTTAAATAACTGGTTTTGGTTTCTTTTCTCTTTCAGCCAAGGGCTCCACTTCTTCTACAAGGTGAGTGCACTGCTGGGCTAGGATGCCTCCATAGTTGTCGGTGGGATGGTTGACAGCCCCCCAAAATTGTGAAGCCCGATCCTCACCCACTGACCCTCACCCCTGTGCCAGGCAACCTTTCTATTTCCTTTGTAAGTTGCTCTGCCAGCTTCGTTTTTAATAATCGTCTCAAATGAGGGGATTTTGGCACACCGAGGCTCTGATTTCCTGCCTGCCGTCCACAGACAGCGAGACCCTCATCAAATCCCATTTGGATGGTAGCAGAAACCCGCCACCCACACACACAGCCCCCAGATCCCAGCTGTGTACTTTGCTCTTGCTTTCATTCATTCAGTAGGTGTTTCATACCTTGGCTGCCTTTGGCCCTGGGGATGCCGGGCAAGTAGGGTAGAAACCGTCTGCCCTCCTGCAGCCAAGGGCCTGCTTGGAGGCCAAAGCAATGACATTATGCCGCAGACAGTACATTACTTTGCTGATTCATGTTTTCGGTGACTTCTGCTGAATCCCTATATGTGTCAGCTGTTGTGCGGGTGCTGGGGCAGTAAGCAAGAATCCAGGCCTTCATGGGGCTCAGGATCCAGAAGAGAAGCAGGCAGTAAGCCTAGTGGCAAAGCCATGTGTACTGTCTTGTCAGGTGGTGACAAATGAGGCCCAGCAAGGGGATGGACATGAATGGCCAGGGTTAGCTTGGGGGGCGGGTGGGGAGAGGGACCTCTGCTGAAGAGGGGATGTGAACTGGGACCTGAGCCCAGGAGCTGAGGAGGGGGATGTGTCTGCTGGGTGGGGGGTGGAGGTGGCCAAGAGTGGGTGTGGCCAAGGCCTGAGGACCAGAGGAAGCCAGGGAGATACAGGTCCATGGTCTCTGCCCAAGGCCATGCAGCCCCGTTTGTTATCAATTCAGACTTCCTAGCTTTTAAAGGAGAGTGCCCCATCTTCTCCCCCAGTGGAGAGATCCAGAACCCCATAATCTACCACTTAAACATACCTGCATGGAAGCGACAAATAAATTGCATGGGTATGCCCCAATTGGCAATAAATAAAAGCCATAAATAGCTTTATGTTGGTTCAGGTCAGGTTTTGCTAACAAATGGGTTGTGCAAATCTTTTTTTCTCCTTTTTCGTTTTAGAGCTTTGTGGATTTCAGAATTGCAGAGCAGGAGCTGAGGTTCTGGAGTGGAGGCCAGTGGTCTAGGGTTTTACTCCCAGTGGGATAAGGAGCCATAGGAGGGAGATGATCTGACTTTTGTTTTAAAGGTACCACCGTGACCGGCCTGTGGGGAATAGGCTGTAGGAGGTGAGGGTGGAGGCAGAGAGGCCCAGGAGGAGGCTGCTGCAGTGGTCCAAGCACATGTTGGTGGTCTGGATGATGGTGGTGGGATGGCTGAGAAAGGGGCAGATTCTGGATATGTTTTGGAGGTAGAGGCAAGAGGATTTGCTGATGGATTAGAGTCAAGGACAGTCCCAGAGTTGTTGAGGGCAATGGGAGTGCTGTGTGTATACCAAGTATACTCTTTTCCAAGGGCAAGACTTGACTTTTTTTTTTTTTAAGGTTTTTATTAATTTACTTAGAGGGCATAAGCAGTGGGGAGGGGGGAGGCAGAGGGAGAGGGAGAAGCAGGCTCTCCCCTGAGCAGGGAGCCAGATGTGGGGCTCGATCCCAGGACCCCGAGATCATGACCTGAGCCCAAGGCAGACATTTAACCGACTGAGCCACCCAGGTGCCCCAAGACTTGACGTCTATCCTTTGCCTGAAAACTTCAGTGGCTCCCCACAGCCCCAAACAGTATCCAGCCATGCTCCCGAGGCCCTCAAGCGCCTCGTGGTCCAGCCCCCGCTGACTTGGACAGTCTCCCTTCCGGCCACTCCCCAGCCCTCACGCTCGGTGACTCAGCCACGCTACACTCCCTTCACAGCCTCCCACACGCTGTGTCCTCACTCTGCTCCCAGTCCTCACGTGCTGGCCTCCCTCCCTGAGATGTGCTCCCGCACCACCCAGGGTCTCCACTGCATCAGGGGGCAGCAGTCACCGTAGGCTCTGTGAACAGCACCTCCTGGAGGTGTGCGACAAGGGGGCTCCCGGGGGCACCCCTCCTCTCACCTGCTTACCTCCCGCCCTTCCCCCAGACTCAGTGAGGGCATTACCATCCCCAGGGCTCATCCTGGGAGTCCACCTGGTGTCTCTGGCACCTGCCCCACGCTATGACCCTCCCCTGTTGAGGGCATGAGCCTTTCCCCCAGGTTCTGCTGAACCTGCCTCCATGCCTGGAATGGAATAGGTACTCAGGTAAGGTTTGTTGATGAACAAATGCATGAGGAATGAATGAATGTCATCCCAAACCACAGCCCTGATCCCCAATCTCTCCCTCTTCCAAGTCCTTAAAACTCTCCTCGGTGGCTTCAGGGCCTCACACACAGGAGGATCGTTCTTTTTTTATTTTGTTTTTATTGTTGTCATTGTTTTTTGCTTGTCTTATCTCTCCAGTTAGATAAGAAGTTCCCCCAAAGAAAGGGGCAGTGTCAATAATAGTAATGACCGCGTCAGCAGCTAACATTTATCAGGCACTTACTCGTCCTGGGAACCGATCTGTGCCCTTTCCCTCTAGTAACCCAATGGTAATTTTAATTATGGCAAAACCCCTCTGATTTACTATCACCCCACATTAATTGAACAGAGCTTCTCAAACTCAGGCATGCAGCGGAATCCCCTGGATGGCTTGTTAAAACGTGGACGACTGCCCGCCCCCCTCCCAGAGTTTCTGATGCAGACCTTGCATTTCTGACAAGTTCCCAGGTGCTGCTACTGCTGCTGCTACCAACTCAGACTTGGAGAACCTCTGTTCTAGAAGGTTATTCTTGTCCTCTTGTATGCGGAAGAAACCGAGGCTCAGAGAAGTCGTGTGACATTCCCAAGGCCCCACAGCTGGCAAGTGCCAGAACTCCCGACTCCAGCCCAGATTGCTCTTACACTGCAGCCGGTGCTGCTCATCATGGCTCTGGTGCCTCCCGCTGCCTATTTTTTTCTCCCCCAGAGCAGCCAACCATTTTCTGCCTCTGTTTTATTTTTTCCAACATGGACCTACCAAGGGATCCGTGAGATTGCTTGCTCCCTTTCATCTCCCTAAACCAAAGCAGTAGCTGGCTATCGGAACGGTGGTTCCCATGCAGCGCTGGCTTCAGTCAGCTGGCTGGGATCTGACGCTTTCCCGAGGACGCTCCCGAGGACGCGGGTGTAGATAACAACCAAGCACCTTGGGGAGGATGCCGAGTGGCGGGTACAGCTGCTTTGAGCTCAGAGGGCCCTTCAGGTTGTGAGACTGGTGGAGGGACTGGGTATTTCTAACTCCCTGGGTTAGGGACTTACCAGTAGAACATTGTCTGTAATCTTCCCCAGCTCAGACAAGAGAAAAATATGTCCCTGCTCCCTTAATTGGGCACTGGGGTTCATTCGGTCGGCCATTTGTTCACTTGTCAGACATTCACTGCGTTTATTCTTGGAATATTTAGGGCTTCTCTGATTCATTTATTCATCTGAATTGAGCCCAGCTCAGTGCCAGGCCTTAAGTCGGTGGGGGGGGGAGGGGGGTTGCGAAGGAGAGCAAAGAAGACACCAGCCCTGGTCTCGGGGCCCTTTTGATTCGGTGTTCATTCATTCAACACTTAGGGCATGCTGACAGTGCATCAGCCCATCATGGGGTGTCAGGGCTGTAGTGTGGAGCCCGTGATCCATCCAGAGGCAGGTCACCAAACAAGCTGGATGGGAGGTTGTTACACAATGTGATACAGGTGCTGGCTAAATAAAATTAAGCTGGGCAGGGAGCAGGGCAGGAGGTGGGGTGCAGTGGGTGGTCAGAGAAAGCTGGTCTATGGAGGTGACATTCAGAAAGTAGCCGAAGGACGGGAAGGCTCCTGCCATAGGAATATCTGGGGCAAGAGTGAGCCAGGCAGAGGGAACAGCCAATGCCAAGACCCCGAGGCGGGAGCAGTTGGACATGTTCATGGAACACGGAGGAGGCCAGGGCAGCTGGACTGGAGCAGGCAAAGGGAAGAAACGGGAGACTAGAACATTCAGGAGGGCCAGTCACATGGGTTCACCATTCTAGGTATGGAGCTGGATCTCACTGTGTGGTGACAAGGGTTTGAGCATTCTGAACAGAAAATGCCATGACATCACCTATGCCTTTTCCATGTGGAGAATGGCACGCTGAAGGGTGGGAACAGAATCAGGGACACCAGGGAGGAGGTTCTTCAGGAATCTACCGAGCTGAGATGGTGGAGGAGACTTGAGTCACTGGGTTTGATAAGGATTTTGGAAGCAGAGTCAACAAGTGTTGTGATGGGTTCACACCATGGGTTGTAAAGGAGGACAGAGGAAAATCTGGGAAGATTCCCGCTTTTTAGCCTGCACACAGGGATGGATAATAGCAGCTCCATTCTCAGAGATGAGAGAGACAGACACAACAAAATGGATACTTGCTTCTTGTCTGCAGTATTGTTCTGAAAGAGAGGAACCCAGTGTTCTGAGAATGGATGAGGTTCAGTGAAGGTTTCCCCAAGAAAGGACTGTTTGAAATGAAATTCAAGGAAAAAGAAGCAGTGAAGCAAATGAAGAGGCAAGGAGGAGGGCTACATGTGCAAAGGCCCTGGGACAGTCTGACTGTCTTCATTCCAAGTCACTTTTATGTGCCTGTACCCACGTGCTGAGGAAGCATGACAAGCAAGTGGCAGGTGAACACATATGCCAGCTGGGAAAAGAGGCAAGGAGGCTTGAAGGTGTCATGGAGGGGCAGCCCAGCTAGCCCAGCACTGTCAGAGAAGCTTTGCCAAGGAGGTGACACCATAGTTGAGTCTTGAAGAATGCCCAAAAGTTAGCAGAGAGAAAAAGTGGTCGAGGGTGGCTTTCCAGGCTATGGTTATTGCAAAGTATGTCTCGTTGAGTAGCTGTTGTGAAATATTTGGGGGTGGAAATGTGAGTAAATAAGGCCGAGGCAGTGAAAGAGCCTGGACAGTCAGCAGGGGCCAGCCCACAAGGGGCTTATGAGCCAGGCGATGGGTTTTACTTGAACCAGAGGCAGTGGGGAGCCTTGGAAGGGTTGGAATCAGTAGGTAGGGGTGCGGATAGAGATCTTCGTGATCTTCCTTAGCAGCCGGTGTCCCTGCTCCCAGAGGGCTGTTTCTGTGGCCACGTGGGGCTTGTCATGCCCCAGAACTGCTTTCTGAGCCAAGATCTTATGCCAAATCCATTAATAACCCTGCTGCCAAGCCCCATTGCTCATTTCTGACATTATCCAGGCTCACATCCCCAGAGTTGCCGGCCTGAGAATTTACACAACTCCTGCAGAACCGTGGCTCTGGTTTGCTCGCCACCTTGACCGTGACCCTGCAGTGAGCCGAGCCATGGCCTCCAATTACAGAATCAAGTGCATGAACAGCTTCTTTGATTAACCAGGACACTGTTCCTTCCCTTTTCTTTCTTTCTTTCTTTTTTTTTTTTAATGCTAAGACCTAGATGTGTAGAATGTAGAACATGTGGAAAATATGGGAAATAAAAGGAAGGGGCAGGGGGCGAAAGCCTCCCAAAGACCACTGCTGTTAGCATTTTACTATGTTTCCTTGCCGTGTTATCCACACATTTTTAGAATTGAGATCATTCTACAGAGGATGTTGCCTTTTCACTATCATTTTAATGTAATCATTTGTAATAAAGAAAAAAATCTCATAAACCTTTTAAATCTTCATCTGTGACTCTATCCTTATTTCCTTAACCAGTCCCAATTGGCAGAGCTGTAACATATAAACCTTCCTCCTTATCCTGCTTTGTGGCAAATGCCTCTGTGCACAAAGCTTTTTCTGTATTTTGAATTACCCCCAAAATGTGCGTTTATGAGTCAAAAGATGAGGACACCTTCCAAGATCTTGATTTTGCCAAGCTGCTTCCCAAAAGGGTTCTATGGGTTTGCCCTTCCCACCAGCAATGTATGAATGTATCTGTTTTCACCATACCTTCCCTAGCACCCAGTAGTTTAACTTTTAAAGATCTTGCTGAAAAAAGTAGGTTGGGGAAAAAAAAAAGATAGTGTACTGCTTAAAATTCCTTCTTAGTGAGAGTGACCCTGTTGTCCAAACATTTGATAAACAGTTGTGTTTCTGTTGAGACTTGCTCCACCCGTATAGAAAATGGGACGAAATGTTATGCTTACTGATTTGCATGAGCACTTGAGATAGTGAGGATATTTTTATCTGTGCGTCTCTTTCCTTTTTAGGTTGCATGAGCCCGAGAAGAACACCAGAGAAATAACCCAGGTACAGTCCTTGGTGAGATGCCCTTCCCTGGAATGTTGATGGTGTGATTTCCTTGCCTCAACCAAAGTTCCAGATGCTGTTCTAAATTAGGAGTCCTTCCCCAGTGCGGGGAGGGGGGCCAGAGTGGGATGGGGAGACTGGGGGAGCCTGATATTTCTGATTTCCCCCTCGTCCTCTGCACACTCTTTCCCTCTGCCTCAATCAGGAGAGGGTCACAGCCTCCTTGACCCAGCACACCCATCGCACAACTCCAGGGGGCGCTGTCCACAGTTTGCTCACTAATTGCCTTGTGCAAGGGCATGCTCACTTTCTGGTGCTTTCTCAACACTGCTAACGCGATTGGACGGATGACATAGTTGGCCTGATTCCGAGAAACTTAGCCCCGCTTTTTTCACTGGCTGATGCCATCAGACCTTGGAGGTACAGGGCTCCTCTGCCCTGAACCTGGAGTGAGAGAGCACCAGATGTCCTTGACATTTCCTGGACTGTTGTCGTTGTCTTAGACACAATCTGTTGTAGAGAGGGCTGTTAAAAGACATAGCATTTGTAGGCCTAAACACCGTGGCCTGCTCTCCTGCCTCAGTACGGCCCCCAGTGGGGCTCAAGCTCGAGGGGTAATTAGAAAACAAGGCGTTCTCCCCGGCCATTTTACCTCCAGACTTCTTTCTGGAACTTTCGGGGTAAAAGATGATGGTGAGAACTGGTCATGGAAACCTGCCCAGAATTCACAGCCCACCAAGACTTCCTGACGGTGAACGAGGCAGTCACAACCCAGCCCTTCTGGAGCTTGCCACCTTGTGTCTAGACTCCCCAGTGCCAGATGCCAGCCCTTGCCAGGGAGGGAATTTAGTGCTGCTAGTGTGGGTTTCCCAGAGAGAAGTTGAGTGAGTGTGCAGACTGCGTGGGGAGACCACATTCTAGGGTCCCACAGGCTTGGGATCCTTTCCAGCAGTATGACTTTGACCAAATTACTTAACCTCTCTGGGCTTCAGTTTTTTCACTGATAAAATGGGGTAATTCTTATCAAGAGGCTGAGATAGGGCCTAGAGAAGATGGTCCATGTGATGGCATGGAGCCTGCAAGCCCTCGGGAGCTGAGTCTGTGGTGATCACCACACACCAACTAGGAGCATTGGTTGCTGTCACCCCCTCCTCTTCTACAGCAGAGGTGTGGGGCACAGGGGGAGCAGAGTTTGTGATTCATGGTGAGTAATGTTAAGGCGGCAATTGTGAGTGAGAAGATTAGCACCTGCGAGATGCTCGAGTTTGCTAGGTGGTTGATGATTGCTAATATTTATTGAACATACACGATCACTCACTCTGTGACAGGCTCTGTTCTAAGAGCTGTGTCTGAAAAAAAAATAATAAGAGTTTTATGTGGGTGATCATATCTGATCTTCACAGGGACCCTGGAAATAGACACTAGTATATCCCTGCTTTACAGATGGGGAAACCGAGGCCTAGAGGGGTCAAGTGAATTGCCCAAAGTCCCTCAGCTAGAGGGAGCGCAACCAAGATTCAAAGTCCAGGCTTCTTACTGCATCTGCTACCTGGGGGCTCCTTCTCATATGCTTCTATCCCTTGTCTTCCTGAGTGAGGCTGAAATTGCTGTCCATCTGTCCATTCATCCATCCATCCATCCATCCATCCATCCATCCATCCATCCATTCATTCACTCATTCAACACTGATGAGGCTTCTTCAATGCCAGCCTTGGTTCCTGCATTATAACAGATACCTAGTGAATAGAGGTTGAAGAAACCAGTAAGTGAGTGAATACCTCCACCCACTGGGCCTTGGGATCTACTCAGACCCCCCCACCGACTCGGTCCTGGGTGGTGGGTGCTGTAATGGAGAAGCATGGATTGGGGGCCCTGGAACCAGCCAAGGGCAGGGTCTTAGGATAAAGCAGTGCTTTTGCTGGAATGTACAGGGTGGAGTGGGTTTCATTTCAAGGAGAAGGGGGGTGGACAGCAGACAGGGAAGAGCAGTGAAAAGGCAGGCAAGAGCTTCCGGGGGAGGGACAGCAAGGCAACACTGTGAAGTGACCCCACAGGTGTTCGGGAAACTCCTTCAGGCCATGAGAGTAGTGGAGGGGTCAGGCTGGAAACAGGGAACCTAGGCCAGATTAGAGCAGGGTGTGAATTAGGGCTTAGCCAGTGGGGTCCAAGGGGAGCCAGAGGCATCCAGCTTTGATGCCAGGGGGTGGATGAGCGGCGGGAGGCTCCAGAATGAACTTCTTTCCACTACATTTAGATCCAGGACAACAATGACATCACGTATGCAGACTTGAACCTGCCCAAGGGGAAGAAGTCTGCCCCCCGGGCCGCCGAGCCCAACAACCACACAGAGTATGCCAGCATTCAGACTGGCCCGCCGCCCGCGCCCGAGGACACCCTCACCTACGCCGACCTGGACATGGTCCACCTCAACCGGGCTCCCAAGCAGACGGCCCCCAAGCCCGAGCCATCCTACTCGGAGTACGCCAGCGTCCAGGTCCAGAGGAAGTGAATAGGACCATGGTCGTCTCTAGGGTCTGTCCTCATGAGCCTTCCTGTCCCATGTGGGACAGCCGTGATGGGGACAGCCAGCCCAGTTCCCAGAGGGCCGGGATGGTGCAGGCCCTGGGACCCCAGGATGAGGCTGGCTCTTGTTTCCCCGACCCGCCTGGCTCTCCAGCATTTCCAGGGCAGCCACAGTCCCCCCACATGGCCACACATGGAGGCCAATGTTGCCAGACCCGCCGGGGGACCGACCTGGGAACTGGCCAGAGCTGCTGGGGGTCCGGGAATCCTCATGCCTGTCTCCATCAACATGTGGGTCTTGGTCATGGTCTTGGAGAACCTGACCTCGCCCTTAATGCTCTGCAGCCTGATCTTCCGGGATGAGGAGGGAGAGAACCCCACCTCCTTTCACTACCACCCAACTGAGGCTTGGGGAAAATTTTCCCTGTAGATCGAACTGCCCCATCCATGGAGAAGCTGGAAAAAAAAAATTTAAATTTAAAAAAAAACCTCTGGGACCCGCATCCCAAGACTTGGTGAGATTGCTGCCAATAGTCCTAGCCTCCCCATCCCTGGACTACTGAGGCACAAGCCCTGGGGGAGGGGAGGATCCTCCAAGGAACTCCCACACAACCACCACCACCACCACCAAGGACTGAGTAACAAAGCCCTTCTCCTCCTGGTGGCCCTCCGAGACTCCTTGAGGACCCATCATCCCAACCGTGACGCTCCACGTGGCCCCTCCTCTCCTTTCTAGACCTGAGCTTGCTTCCTCCAGCTCGCACTAACTCAGCAACATCTCGCTGTGGACGCCTGTAAATTATTGAGAAATGTGAAATGTGCAATCTTGAAACTGAGGTGTTAGAAAATTTGATCTGTGGTGTTTTGTTTTGTTTTGTTTTTTTTCTTAAAATGACAGCAACGTTATCTTGGCTCTTTGTCATGTGTTGAAGTACCTGGTTGGGTCTTGTGCGGTCTAAGGTTTACCAGTTGATTGTCCTGGAGGGATCTTCTTACAGCAGAAACCAAGTCCCTCCCCGTCCCAGACCCTGAGGATGGGGCAGGAAGGTCGTGGTGTGGCTGCTCCATGGAGGTGCTTAGCCTTCTTTCTCCAGGACAAAACTGGCCATGTCCTCAGCTGAGCCACGTGGCTGAAACTGCTGCCTTCCGTGCCCCCAGTGTGCTAAGTCCAAGCCTGCCCACTACTTCTCCAGGCTGCATCCTTCACAGGGCAGTCTTGTCGAACACTGAGGCCTCAGTCTTCTCATCCAGAAAGAGGAGAAAGATGCCCCCATCCCACCCCACCCCCGCTCCCTGCCATCTCACAAGTGCTGGATGCCGTGCAGGGGAGGGAAGCTCTGCCTGGCTGTTGTTCCCACCCTTTAGTGACTGCTCCCATTCCAGCTCACTGAGCTGATCCCTGTAGGAGGAATCTTCTGTTTCTGCTCTCATATCCTTTCGAGATCAAACTGGAATAAATCCAAGACAGGCAGGAGGTTGGGCAGATGCTGCGACCTCTTACCCCTGACGCCCACCCTTCCAATGGGGTGAAGGGGGCCTGGCTGGTCCCAGGGCCAGCATGTGTTGCACGCCCTGTTTATTCAGTCTTCACGTATCACCGACCTACTGTTGGAGCTGAGAGGTTCATATTCTCTGCCCCCTGGGTCCTGCCATTTGATGCCCCAGGGACTCCAGGCCATCAGAGCGAGAGGCTGAGCCATCTTGTCCATCAGCAGGTCCTACGCATGGAACACCGGGAGCTCTACTCAGACCCAGTTCTCTGGGGACGGCGATTTGGCGTTTTACATGATGGCATCCAGGAATTGGCTGAGCCAACAGGCCATGTGGGCAGCTTTGGCCCAGTGAGCCAGAGTTTCTCTGTGGCATCTGGGAGCACAGTGGTGCAGCCACCTGGCTCAAGCTATTTCCAAATTCCAAAAGGATGGCTTGTAAACCTTAGTCTCCCTCTCTTCTGCCCAGAGAAGGCACATGTGCTTGAGCGTGCACACGTGTGCACACATGCACACATGCACACACACACACACACACACACACACAAATGGAATTTTAAGAGAATGTTTTCTTGGTGCCATTTTAATTTAATTTTATTTTGAATTTTGGAAGGGGAGTAAGGGAATGAGGCCAAGGAAGTTGTGCAGCTTTTAGCTCCGGCCTGGCAGCCTGGAGATTCCCATACCTTGTGTATCGAACCCCAGGAAAAGGAAGAGGTCGAAACAACACTGCGGAAGGAGCGTGGTTTCGGGAGTTTATTTTAAGACTGCTAGGAAGGAAACAGGCCCCATTTTGTATATAGTTGCAACTTAAACTTTTTGGCTTGCAAAATATTTTTGTAATAAAGATTTCTGGGTAACAACAACCCCTCTGGATGTTGAGTGTCTTTGTCTTTGGGAATGGGGGTCCCTATCCCCAGGAACCTGGGAGAAGATGGTATATGGCCTCGGGGATTGGAGACTGAAAGGTTTGGGTCTCTCTCTTGGGTTTTCTAGACACAAAGACTTTGTTTCGCCTGGCTCACAGGGAGTCGGTGGAAGGTTGTGCCCCAGACACCTGTGGATGCAAAATCCTGACCAACAACCACATTTGAATCCTGGCTTTGCCACTTGGCAGAGGTCAAAGAGCTCACCTCCTTCCGGACACTCAGACTCACTATGTCATTGATGCAATGGAGACAGTCATACCCCCAGCCGGGGTTCTTGTGCAGATCAAAGGGATGCCGAGCCCCACACTTGGCACCTGCCTGCCTCACTAAGTGTCAGTCTTCCCTTCCCACCCCAGACGTTGCATAGCTGGGACTAGTCACACGTCCCCACCTGTGGGATCATGTACAAGTGGGTCACCCTCTGGGAACCTCACCTCCCCCTCCACTGAATGCAGAAACCCAGTGCTGGCCCTAGAATATTCTTGCCAGATGCTAGCATATAATAAGTGCTCAATAAATGTTGGCTTTCTTAGCTCTCCTCCATTAGAATATTATTAATATTAATGACTGAAATAATAATGGTCATGATATTAACAAGTGATGTTTACTGAGTGTCAGCACTTGCCCTTGATGAGCTTCTTCAAACCTCACGATTTGAGGTAGGAAATATTCCCGACCCCGTGAATAGGGAAGGCACAGGAAAGCAGTAGAATATATGCAGGGTCACACAGCTGCCGAGTGACGTCGCTGAGACTCAGGCTCCAGCTGCCCAACCCCAGTGCCCAGCTTCTGTGGCCTGAGTCAACAATTAAGAGCTCATGTATTGGCACTGACCAGGTTATATGGTAAGGAATGCCCCGGCATCTCACAGTCCTTATCTCATTTAATCCCCCCCCCCCAACCACCAGATGAGGCTGGAACTCTTGTCATCCCTGTTTTACAGATGAGTAAACCGAGGCCCAGAGAAGCTAAGTCATTTCCCCAGTGTCCCATGGCAGAGTCTGGCTCTTCCTCATCACATCGTACTGCCCTGTTCCCTTCTCAGAGTGGCCAGATAGCTGTGGCTGTGCCCATTTGGCCGGGAAAGAAGGTGGAGGTGTAGGAGATGCGTGGCACCCGTCCAAGCTCATGCAATGAACCCGTCATCAGGTTGGGACTTGCACTTGGATCTGCGAGCCCACATAGGATCATCCTTGAGCCTTCGGCCTGACCCCGTGATCAGGGACCTAAGGCACGTAGGGCAAAGGAGACTCCAGCAGGCTCAGAGAAGTCACCTGCCTCGCAGGCCAGGTCAGAGAGCTGAGCTCTCAGCTGCCCTTGGGGCCCAACCCGGGCAATCTGTGTGCTGCTGGCAGGGATGAGGTGTTCAAGGCATGCGTCCAGGCTGAGTGGGCAGGGAAGTGCCTTGCATTTTCTGGGAAGGTGGGGAATGATGGACTGCGTGTCCAGGCAAGGAGACATGGGGGATGTATTTTATGCGGCACCTGGCGCACCTGACCCACCTCCTCCATGGCCCACTTTCCAGGGCTGTGGGTTGGCAGGCAAAATGAAAGTTGATAGGAGCCAAGTGACCCCCTTCCTGCCCTCCAGGAAATCAGTCAAACATTTGGCATTTATCGGGTATCTCCTCTGATTCTGCCTTATGCAAAGAAACACAGGACACCACGTACCCTACCCCCACCCCCAACCCCCATGAAGACCCAGAGGACATTTGCAGCCTTCCCCCCCCCCCACCCCTTTCACATGATAATCAGGAAAATCTCTGCCATCTCCAGATTCCAATGCCCAGCTGTGAAAACCCCTGCGTGCATATTTCCACCAGCCAAAATTTGACCAAGATTTGTTTATTTATTTTTTACATAAGTACTTTTTACGTATCAGATAGTCTCCTAAACTCTGTACAAATATTAACTTATTTAAAATCAATTCACTCCATTCTCTTAACAAACCTATAAGGTGGGTACTATGATTATCCTCTGCTTAATAAAGACATGGAAGCACAGAAAGATTGCACATCTTGTTTAAGGGCCACCATCCAGGATATGGTGTCACTGTGGGTATGGGTGGGTCCTGGACAGGCATGGGGGGGGGTTGCTGGAGATACAGCAGGGGCCACAGACAGTGTTGGCGTGCACTGGGATGTCTGTTGGGAGCCAAGAAATGCCACGTGGTCTCAACCACCGAAACATCGGAGTATTGGGGCAGCCCCCATCGCCTGCCTGGACACCGGCCAGCCAACATGTCCTTAAGCTTCCCTGGGGCTCAGCCTGGCACCATCAGCATCGCTACGACTCCACCACCACCCTGCCTTTAACTGTAGCACTATGTTTGCTGGGGTCTGGGTTTGTTTTCTAAACATAAGATTTTGTGTTGTTTTTATTGAACATAAGACTTTGAAATTGAAAATGCTTTCCCAAAAGACATGTGCCCCAGATGTTCAAAAACTGGCAACACTTTGGTGACAGAGGTTGGGAGGATGGGGTCTATCCTTGTCGAGGGCAGCCATGCGGAGGGGTCTGAGGGGCCCTCTGGGGCGACGAGACATTCTGTACCTCCATTTGAGTGGGCCGATGTGGGGGCTTGCAGACGTAAGACTCCATCAAGTGCATATTTAAGGTCTGCATTTTCTCGTGTGTCAGTTATACCTCAAAAAAGATAGGAAGTCCCCCTGGGGCTTCAACCCCCACCTTCAACCCTGGATGCCTGCCCCAACCTGACAGTCCAGGAGCCCAGCCCAGGGCCTGGCCCAGGGATGGCTCTGGGAACACTGTTGAGCAATTCTGAGAAATAGCATCTCGGTGACCAAAAAAGCACATGATACAGTGAAAGAAAAAGTGCAATACGGGGAAGGCCAAGGCTATGGGACAAGCCACTTATCTGCCATCATCTGTCTACTGAGGCTGCCTTACTGACTCACCCCACGCCCACGCCCTTCACCCCACCACCCAGGCATGAGAGGCCACCGCACAGTCCTCACCCTGTCACTTTGGGCAGTGGCTTTGCCTCTGAGCCTCAGTGTGTACTCCTGGAAGGTGGGGTGGACTCTTCACCATGGGGCTCTAGTGAAGGTAACACAGAGAGTAGACCTAAGACCCATTGCAACAGTGTGGGGCAGACAGCACTCAGCACACTCACATTCACACTCACACACAGATATGCTCGCATGCTCACACCCCCACACCTGCAGGCATTCACACACACACTCCTGGTCAGACCCACACAATTCACACACTCACACCACTGCGTTTACACACACATCCACACTCATACACTCATACCCATACTCTTGCACACATCCTCACACATGATCACACTCCCACACACACACACACACACACACACACACACACTCACACCCATACACCAGGGCCAGGTTCTCAGAGGAGCTTGACGATGGTGGGTCTCCCCTCCTGGCTGAAGCAACTTTAACTAGGTCTCTCCCTCCTTCGTTAGCCTGGGGTGGCTCCCTCTTACCAACTCTGGGGAATCCAACACCCAGTCCCCTCTTCAGGCCCCTCTTCCTAACACCCCACCTGACCTTCAGGACACGTCCTGCTCCTCCCAGGCCTGGACTGGACTCTCTGGCCAGCCTAGTCCCATCAGGTACCAGGTGGAGCTACCTTTGCCCTGGCCGCACGGTAGGTCATCCTCCCTCCTGCCTGTCCCCCAAGCAGACCACAAGCTCCCCAACACCAGCATGTCACTTCCTGCCTTTGGAATACAGCCCCTGGGAGAAGGGGGACTGAAGCTCACCATGTGCCAGACAGGGTCCTGGGCACTTGAATTCTTTATTTCAGTGAACTCTTACTTCTGAAGATGGGCACTATGTTGTCCATTCCACAGATAAGAAAATCTAGGCTCAGGGAGGTGGAGAGACAAGATCACTCATTCAGCCAGTAATTATTTCTGTAGCTCCTGCTGTGCGCCAGGCCCTGCAAGCCTCCTGGGAGAGCCACGCTGACTAAAGCAAGGCCACACCCTTATGAGCTCATGGGGCACAAGGGAGCCAGAGCATCTGGACAAGGGGGTGTCCATGGGTAATTTTCAGGAAGTTGTAAAACAGGATGGATGCAAATACAGAATAGCAAAGCCAAACACAGCTACACTGCTTGTAGAATTAACCGATCCTTCAGTGGAGCTTTTTAAACAATGCCCCAGTAGGCATTGAAAGAAGGTCCCACTTTCTTTGCCTTACTTCCAAGTATTTTCTTATTAGGAGAAAGTACACTGACCTCACTCAGTGTGCATCGAGGGCAATCGAGGCCTTTTGAAGAGGAAACCCAGAGCTGAGGCCCAAAGGATGAGTAAGAAATGAGCCAAACAAAGAGGGTGCGGTGGCGCCAATACTTTGGAGAAATGATCCTTCCAGCCCTTGCCAAGCTCTGCTGCCCCATCTTCCATCACGTACACCCCCACCCCCATCACTCTTGCACTGGCAACACTAGCCTCCTAACAGTTCCTGGAATGAACCACAGGGTCTTTGTACATGCTACTCCCTCTTCTTGGAAGACCCATTGGGTCTCTTTCCTGCTTGTTCTTCCAATGCAAAGATTGGGCCGAGTTCCCTGGTTAAACACCACTGTAACAACCCTGTACAGAACCTCTCTTTGTAACTCTTGTCACTGTTTGTGGCTAGATATTGACCTTGTGGTTCCTTAATTAACATCCCCCTCTTCCACTGCCCTGGGAGCAGCCTCCCAGGGTGTTGGCTTTACTCAACAGTAACACTTCTGTGCCTGGCCCACAAGACTTCCAATAAATATTTGTTGGATGGATAGAAGGATGGGAGGGAGGATGACTGGGTGGAAGGTCATGTGCTTGGGAGGATGGATGATGTGTGGGTGGGAAGGGAGGAGAAAGGTGAGGAAAGGATATCACATAGAAAAGCCCAGAAGCCAGAGACTGCAAGGCCTCTTAGGAGAACAGAAAGTGCCTCT